GGGGGGGGGGGGTAAGGGTTCCACGCGTGTTTTTTTCGATGTTTCCCGACCCCCCCCCCCCCCACTAGAAATCGAGGGTAAATCTGAGCCTTCGGGTTGGGTTGGGGTGGTTTGGTGGGTGGTGGCATCCTGATCAGCACATCCAAGTCGTCGTCCTCATCATCGGATCCTGGCTCAGGGTTGGCCGCCGCCAGCACCGCGCTCGCAGCCGACAGAAACGTGTCCCCGCTGCAGCGTAGCACGAGGGCGCCGATGTCGCAGTCGGCCTCATCGACCTCGCGGTGGTACTCCCTTGCGTGGATCACGCTCTGGCAGCGCCTCTCGAAGTCCCGGAACTGCTCTGGCGTCACCCACTCTCGCAGGCAGGGCCCCCGGGTACCGCCAAGGTGGAAGCAGATGTCAGAGGAACCAAAAACTGCACAAACAGAAACTGCTGGGAGGTCATGTGGATTTCTCTGATCATCGGCGCTGGACGACCCCGCGCTGGGGGAGGGGGGGTCCAGCCTCGACCCAAGAAGCCCGAGCGGACCTCCGAGAAGTTGTGCTCATGCCGCGTTGGCTCTCCGAGATGTCGCGGACGCGCATCCCCGGGCTACTGGAGTCGAGCCGCAGGGACACGCCGCGAACCCCGGCCGTTGCCGCGGCGCGGCGCCCAGAGGAGCACGAGGACTGGGACACGGACGAGCCCGAGGAGGACGAGGAGCAGGACGTGCGCGACGAGCGTGCGCCGGCGACCCTCCCCAGCAGGGCGTGCGCAGCGAGCTCGGTGCCGCGGGGCTGAGCCGGGACGGCGGCAGCTCTGTACATCGGCACCGCTTCTACTCGGGCCAGTCCTGGGCCACAGGCCCCAGGATCGGCTCGATGTAGATGCCCCCCTTGTCCCAGCCAGGACGGCCTATGCAACGACCGTACGGGGCAGCTTTGAATACATAGGATTTGTTTTAAGATTGGATGTTTAGTACATGATCAATGTATGAATGAATGTATGCATGAACTAATCGTTGCTTTTATGCTAAATCCCTGCATGATTAATACATGATCCGCACGCAGAGCATGTATTTCAAAAAGGCACTGTATGCTCGGGATGGGCCTGCCCAGGATTGGACGCACGGAATGGGCACGGAAGAAAAGGGTACGCTGTCCAACAGCACACGTTTTCAAAAACCAACAGCGGCCGCTACTGGGCAGTCGGCTTTCTGCCCCAGATGGACAGAAGCCACGGCGACACCGACAACGAGTCCTGTTCAAAACGGACAGGAAATGCGGTCGGCATTCGCACCCATTATTTCCGTACCCATGTCGATCGTACTCCCAAACCACCGACGTCATGATTCGTTACGAACGTCGACCCCCAGAGGTCTCGACTCATGCCCCGGTACCCGTTTTTCAAGTTGGGTAACCTCAGGAAGTTGTTCAGAACCCTTTTTGTTCTGGGGTTCTCTTAGCACCGCACCGTTGTCATTAATCCCAACGGGCGGTTTCCGCCGAACGAGGTCTTTAGCACAGCGCGAGTTACAAATTATCCTAGCGAACAACCCATCCATATGCAGTTGTGAGTACCGAAGCTATGAATATCGTCCTCGGTGGCGCTCCTCATGGGGCCACGAACCATGTGAAGGGGGTACCGACATGACGCGTGAGGGGTGTGCCAAAATGGGTGGCGGGAACGCATGCGAACACCGCCGATGGGACCTTCGGTGGAGCGTCCCATAAGCCCACGAAAAGTGCAAGGAAGGTGCCGCAATGGGTGGCGGGGACGCATGCGAACACCGCCCCTGGAGCCTTCGGCGGAGCTCCTCGTGGGGCCGCGAAACGTAAGAGGGGGGGGCCGACATGGGTGGCGGGGACGCATGTGAACGCAGCCGCTGGGGCCCTCGGTGGAGCCCACTATAGGGGCACGAAACATGTGAGGAGCTTGCCGACATGAGTGGCGGGGACGCACGTGGACACCGCCACTGGGGCCTCCAATGGAGTTAGTTCCCTATGGGGCCACGAAGCGTGTGAGGGATGTGCCGACATGGGTGGCGTGGACGCGTGTGGACGCCTCCACGGGGACCTTCGGTTGGGTTCTTTATGGGTCTGTCTTTATTTTGTCCAGCCATTGGCTCTGTTACTATTTACCCAGCTGTTCTGTGATTACGCCGGTCTCCTTAGACCTGACGGCTGGTACTTCACCTTTTCTGAAGCCTGTTCACGGCCCACGTTTCGCGTTCTGTAGGTTGGCCTTCGGTGGAGCTCCCCATGGGGCCACGAAGCGCGTGATGGATGTGCCGAAATGGGCGCGGGACGCATGTCGACGCAACCACTGGGGCCTTCGGTGGGGCTCGCTATGGGGCCACGAAACGTGTGAGGGGTGTGCCGAAATGGGCGCGGAAGGCATGTGAATGCAGCCACTGAGGCCGCCGGTGGAACTCCCTTTAGGGCCACGACATGTGTGAAGGGTGCGACGAAATATACGCGGAGCGCATGTGCACGCAACCACTGGGGCCTTCGGCGGGCTCCCTATGTGCCGAAATGGGCGCGTGACGCATGTCAACGCAGCCTTTGGGGCCTTCGGTGAAACTCTCTATGGGGCTTAGAAATGTTTCAGGGGTTTGACGAGATATGCGCAGAGCGCATGTGCACGCAGCCACTGGGGCCTTAGGTCGAGCTCTGTACGGGGCCACGAAACGCTTGAGGGGTGTGCCGACATGGGCCGGCCACGCATGTGGACACCGCCACTGGGGCCTTCGGTGGAGCTCCCTACGGGGCCACAAACCGTGTGAGGGTCGTGCCGAAATGGACGTGGGAGGCATGTGAACGTAGCCACTGGGGCCTTCGGTGGAGCTCCCTATGGGGCGACGAATCGTGTGAAGGGTGCGCCGAGAAGGGGTGCCGGGGACGCACGCGGACACTGCTACTGGGGCCTTCGGTGGAGCTCCCTATGGGGCCACGAACCGTTTCATGGGTGTGCCGAAATGGCGCACATGCGGAGAGCAGCGGCACGATGCTGACGATGGCGATGGTGATGATGTGGTTGATGACGATGGCGATGACGATGACGACGATGATAATGAGAATGATGAAGAGGAAAAATATGAGGACTTGCGGAGGGTTGACGCGGGGGTGGGAGGAGAAGAAAGGCAGCGAGAGGACGGGAGGAGGAAAGAGAGGGAGGAGGAGTGGAAGGAAGGAAAAAACACGGGGCACTATCTCTTCAAAGCGAAGACCCCACACAACAGGATGGTTGGGAATTAATTCTCGTCCGCGGGTAATCGGTAGAAGTCCTTAGTTGTAGTAGTAGTAGTAGTAGTAGTAGTAGTAGTAGTAGTAGTAGTAGTGGTGGTAGTAGGAGTAGTAGTAGTAGTAGTAGTAGTTGTAGTAGTAGTAGTAGTAGGAGTAGTAGTAGTAGTAGTAGTGTCAGTAGTAGTAGTAGTAGTAATAGTAGTAGTAGTACTACTACTACTAGTAGTAGTACTAGTACTAGTTACTAGTAGTAGTTAGTAGTAGTATACTACTACTACTAGTAGTACTAGTAGTAGTAGTAGTAGTAGTAGTAGTAGTAGTAGTAGTAGTAATAGTAGTAGTAGTAGCTGTAGTAGTAGTAGTTGTTGTTGTAATAGTAATAGTAGGAGTAGTAGTAGTATTGGTAGTAGTAGTAGTAGTAGTAGTAGCCGTAGTAGTAATAGTAGTAGTAGGAGTAGTCGTAGTAGTAGTAGTAGTAGTAGCAGTAGTAGTAGTAGTAGTAGTAGAAGTAGTAATAGTGGTAGTGGTAAGAATCATACGAACAATAGTGCTACGAGTCGTCGTAGTAATAATTGTAGTCGTAGTAGTCGTAACGGTATAACTAGTCGCGGTAGTAGTAAAAAAAAGTAGTAGTAGTAGTCGTAGTAGTAGTAGTAGTAGTGGTAGTAGTGGAAGTAGTGGAAGTATGAATAGTCGTAGTAGCAGTTGAAGTTCGAGTACACGTCAAAAAAATGATGGCAGTAGTCGTAGTAGTAGTAGTAGTAGTAGTAGTAGTAGTAGTAGTCGCAATAGTAGTAGTCGTAGTAGTCGTAGTAGTCGTAGTAGTAGTAGTAGTAGTAGTAGTCGTAGTAGTAGTCGTCATAGTAGTCGCAGTAGTGGTAGCAGTAGTAGCAGTAGTAGTGGTAGTAGTAGTAGTAGTAGTAGTAGTAGTAGTAGTAGTAGTAGTAGTAGTAGTAGTAGTAGTACTAATTGCATTTGTAGCAGTGGCAATACAAATCGTAATAGTCGTACGAGCAGTAGTAGTAGTAGTAGTAGTAATAGTAGTAGTAGTAGTAGTAGTAGTAGTAGTAACAATAGAAATAGTAATCGCAAAAGAACTACGAGTAGTAGTAGTAGTAAAGATATTGTAGCCGGAGAACTAATAATAACAACAGTGATGTCATGGTGGTAGTGGTAATGGTGGTGGTAGTGGTAACGGTAGTGGCAATAGTCTGACTGATCGTGTTAAAACTACTAGAAGCAAAAGCAGTAGTAGCATTAGTGGTGGTAGTAGAAGTAATAGCAGTACGAATCGTAGTCGTAGGCGTAGTAGCATGGCGGCCAGTAGTGATACCAGTGATAAAAAGAATGAAAGTAGTCGTAGTAGCAGTAGTAGTAGTAGTAGTAGTAGTAGTAGCACTAGTAGGAGTAGTAGTACTAGTAGTTGTAGCACGACTAGTAAACAATTGTATGAAATAGTAATAGTGCGATTCGTGCTAGCAGTGAAGAAAAAATGCAGAAATAGCAAAAGTAATGATTCGAGTCGAGTAGTCGTGGAAGCAGTAATACTACCCCGACTGCGAGCGCTGGCAGTAGCAGTCCTAGTAATACTGGCAGTAGTAGTAGTAGTAGTAGTAGTAGTAGTAGTAGTAGTCGTACTAGTACTAGTAATCGTGCCACCAGCAGTAGCAGCAGTAGTAGTAGTAGTAAGAATAATGCGAGCACGAACAGAATTGTACAAGTAGCAGTAGCAGCAATCGTCGTAATGGTAATTGCGGTCGTCTTTCTCATAATGATACCAGGAATACTAGCTGCGATACCAATACTGATGCTAGCGCGAGTAGAAGTGCGAGTAAACGTAGTCGCAGTAGTAGTAACAAAATTAGTTGTAGTAGCAGCAGTAATACCAAATATAACGGCAGTAGCGCGAGTGGCAGCAGTACATGTGGCAATAGCAATAATGGCACTACGACAAACACTACTACTACTCCGACTACTACTTGGCAGTCAAGAGGAATAACAATAGTAGCAACGGTAGCAACAGCACTAGTTAGTAGTAGCAGTAGCAAAAATAAAAGCAGTAGTCGTAATGGAAATAATAATAGTAGGGTCACACGTCACCTTCGCGAATGCTGAGAATGGACGGGTATGGGCAAGGGTTCGGGTTCGGGTTCGGATACAAATTAATTCGAATACTAGTAACAGGTGAATAGAGAACAATGGGAATACAATTAAACTTTAACAAAAAATGCAATTATAATGCAATTAAAAATCAACTATAACGGCCTTAGACTTCGATTACAAGTAGAGTGCAATTAGAGTCTAATTCGAATACAATTAAATAACAATTGGAGCACAACTACACTTGAATTAGAGTACAAGTACAAGACAAGTACAATACAACTAAAATACGATGAGCGTTCAAGTAGAATACAAGTAGACTTTCATAAGACTACTTTTAGCATCTAATCAGAATACATATAGAATACAACTAAAACAATGAGAATACGGGCGACACGGAGGTGACGTGTGGACTTGCACTTCCTGCTTGGTTTCGTAATAATACGGGCACA